TCATAATGACTTAGTTACAGGATGTAAATTGATGAAATTAAATTGCAACAGCTAAAAATTATTTTAAAAATAGTACCATGTATTTGACTTTGACAGTGATCAGAGCTTATTAGCTTGACATTTGGTAGTGGGTACCATGTAACTAATGACATGAACGGACAGATCCTTTGCTTCCTGCTGGTTGCAGTGTGCTATATCCAATGAAAGAAAATAGAAAATTTGCTAAAAGTCTTGGGCTACAGCTTGGATTCTTCTCTTCTTTGTCTTCTTCTTCTTCTTCTTTTTTTAAGTGTATGTGGACCTTGGGTTTTTATGTTGCTTTGTATTCTGTAGTTTAACTGGTGTTGTTTATTTCCTTGTAAACTAAGTTGGCTGGGGAGGGACCACTTGATATTTACAGCATTTCATACAGTGATCTGCAAGCTCTAGATCTATTTTTTGACAGCATATATGGTCTTCAGTAAAGGTTTTGATGCCTTGCTTAAATGTGAATGTAGAGACCTATGTTCTGTATTTCTACCTTTTTTTTTTCTTCAAAAGAACATAGGATTCAAAAAAAAAAAAAACAAAAAACAAACCTATAAAGACTTTTTCTCTTTTAGTTCCAGAGTGATCCTCTTGACCATTCATCCTAGGAATTGTCATTACAGAAAACATTCCTCCCTATCTATATGAGGTGTTCTTTACTTTTTCAGGAGAAAGTAGAATTAGTAAACTGAGCAACGTAGGAACACAGGAAGAAAGGTGAGTTTTTTGGCTTGGGAAAGGAGCCCTGACGTGCTTTAATACCACACCTGAACCATTTACCAACGGTTCTGCATACAGAACTGTTTTTTTTTTTTTTTTTTTTTTTTTAATTTTATTCATTTATTTTGACAGAGATCACAAGTAGGCAGAGAGGCAGACATAGAGAGAGAGGGGGAAGCAGCCTCCCCGTTGAGCAGAGAGCCCGATGCGGGACTCGATCCCAGGACCCTGAGATCATGACCTGAGCCGAAGGCAGAGGCTCAACCCACTGAGCCATCCAGGTGCCCCCGTACAGAACTGTTTTTGACAGAGAGATCACAAGCAGGCAGAGAGGCAGGCAGAGAGAGAGGAGGAAGCAGGCTCCCCGAGAGAGCAGAGAGCCCGATGTGGGGCTGGATCCCAGGACTCTGAGATCATGACCTGAGCCGAAGGCAGCGGCTTAACCCACTGAGCCACCCAGGCGCCCCCAGAACTGTTTTTGAAATTATTGCCCGTTTGATTTATCCCATTGCCATAAAGCATAAATAACACCTATACAATCATAGACCAGGTAATGTAACTAAAGATCACAAAATCACATTTAGGTATGAATGTTTTAGTAGGTCTAAAACTGTATGCTTTCGATTTCTGTGTATGTGTGTGGAGGTACAAATACAGAAGTTGCTATTAGGTTATTTTTAAAGTGGTCACATCTGCTTCCATTGAATGTTTCCATTCCCTTCTTGGTATGGGTATCAGCAAGTGCTACTTGTGAGCTGGATTGATGGGTGCAGTTCCTCCTACCCCCAAGCAGAAGCCAGAGTAAAAAGCATTGCTGGTAGCTATCAAACAAACAACTACATTTTTTAAGTGTCTTGGCTAACCAGACATAAACAGTACCTTCGAGTAGCAGTAAAAAGGCAGTAACTTTTTATAATAAAGTTCTTTCTTTTTTAAATTAAGGATGTCACCCTTGTAGTTTTAGATCTACTACAAAAAGGCCGAAACCCCACAGAATTACCTGAGGGTTTTATGCCTATCCTTTCCTTTCTCCTGCCCGTTGGACTTTTTAGGAGTCTGTGATCTAAACATCGACATAATGTCCACTTCATAGAAAATTTGAAGTAACTTTGCAAATATCTTACAAAAGGGTACCACTTGATAAAACTGTACATTTTAAAAATAAGCCTTGTCTATTTTTCCTTTGGGTCGTGTTTGAAGTTGACTGGGATTGGACATTTCAGTTTTTAGGAAAAATTACTCATGCGTAGATCTATTTAAATTTTTGAATGCTGATGGGTTTTGTAGTAGTCTCTTTCAGATTGCATGCATATAAACAAATAGTTATGCAATTTCTCTCTTTTTGAAAGCTAAATCTTGAAATGACACTTATTCTGGTTTCCCTGTTTTGGAATAGGAACCAAAGTTTTTGGATTGGTTTTCCAGCTCTTTACTCTGTTAGTCACTACCTGCAGTCCTGTCGAGTGTCCTTGAATTTGCCATCACTTCCTCCCCTACTGGCTTCTCTGGGTCTTGGTATGGATGGTGAGGAGAATTGATAGGCAGGTGCTTTCCAGAGAAGGAATAAGGAACTTGACCTTGGCTTCTTGTTTTTTCTCTCAGACTGTTGTTAGACTTCCTGAACTTGGATCCCTTTGAGTTTTCTTACCCCTGCATTATAATTCTGTTATAATTCATCACATGTTCTTTTTTGTAGAAGATTGTTTGTAATATAGCTAGTAACTGGGCATGCCTATGTGTTTACATAGTTTTTAAAAAACTAAAGCATTGAACAAATGGAGTCCTTTTAAAAGCTAGATTCTTTAAGTTTTTATTTGAGAGAGAGAGAGCGTGAGCACATGAGCAGGGAGTCCAATGGGGCTCGATCCCAGGACCCTGGGATCATGACCTCAGCTGAAAGCATTCGCTTAACCGACCGAGCCACCCAGGTGCCACTAAAGCTAGATTCTCAGTGAGATGGTTTCACCATCTAAAGAAGTTTTGACCAAAAAAATTGATCTTACGCACCTTTCTTCTACATAAGGGTGACTGTTCTATTCTGAGTTGTGAGTTCAACTCTAACTGAAAGGGCTATGTAGCTTTAGACCTTCTGAGTTTTACAAAAAATGTTGTTTCTGGGTATTTACATGTTCTGTGTTTTGCATCCTGTAACCTCCACTACCCACTTTTCCTGTTTGGTATTGTACTTTCTGTATCTTTTCTGCAGTCTTTAGATCATGAATCTTCCTTTAAAAACTCTAGTTTTTAAAAATTGTTTCTTTCCATGCCCTCGACGTTGCTTTTCCTCAGGCAACTCAAACTGGTATTTGGGACTATTTCACTGAGGAAGGTGTTTGATTTTTACCATGGTGTACTTCTCTAAACAGGATTCCAGCGGGATCCTTTTTCTGTGGCCTGACTTTTAAAGCATTAGGTCACTTAGAATGCCATTGTCTTGGTAATTGGCTGTAGTCCTCTCCTCTTGTGAGAGGAATGCAGAACGACCCCTTTCAGGTGCCATGCCCGTTGGGATTGGGGTGGTATCTCTGGCGGAAGAATAGAGATGTGTTAACCATGGGCAGTGGGCTGGAAATCTCTGTTGGCTGGAAACTGGTGCATATAGCAGGCAGTTAGATGGAGGGGCTCCCCACACAGTCTTTCTACTGCTCCTTTTCCTGCAAACTTGAGAGCTATGTATTCTGGTGTCTAATTGTAGTAATGGCCTCTGGGAGGAGACTGTGACCCTAAGTACCTCAGAAATCTTAATAGTTCTTCCCAGGGGTATACCCACTCTTTTTTTTTTTTTTCTTTTTAAAGATCTTACTTATTGGAGAGAGAGAGAGAGAATGAAAGGGGAGAGGGTCAGAGGGAGAGGCAGACTCCCTGATGCGCAGGGAGCCCAACGTGGGACTTGATCCCAGAACCCTGGGATCATGACCTGAGCCGAAGGTGGTGGCGTAACTACCTGAGCCACCCAGGCGCCCCGGGGTATACCCACTCTTAAGTACTTCTGTGCTTGTTATTTTCAAGGACTGAAGGTAATATTGAAGACAACTTCTAGCCCAGAATTAAATACCAGTTAATTCAGTACTCTCCTTTCTTCCCAATTGAACAGAGCGTTTGGGTTAGAACCTAGTGGTGGGGCTATTAAGTGTGGTCGGTTAGTTACTCAGCTTTGGTTATACACAAAGCTTATTCTGGCCCCTCCAGTTACTGCATTCCTTGCCCTAGAGGAAGGAACGTCTTGGTCAAAGAGCAAGAGCATCTGGGATAGTGATTTGTTCTGTACAATTTTTTAATCTGTATCATCCCTCAGGTAGCTTGATGAGCATAAAGATGTATTCCGGTATACAAATATGAATGACAAATTTCATCCCATCCGCGTTGAATTCAGTGCCACTCAGGCTGTTAGATGATGAATGCTAACACATGTTCTTTTATACTTCTAAAATCGGATCTATTTAGGAATGCACTTGACCCTTTCTCTGCCCTTTTAAACGGTCTAATGCTACTGAATAAGACAAGGAAGCATTGGAAATTGATTCCGGCTCCTTGAGTACAAAATCTTGCCTGACTCCGGAATTTATAAAACTTAGATTTCTGGTTGTCTTTTTTTCCCCTAAATACTTTTTCTTTTGAACACCACTTTGTAAGAAACTAATTTATTCACTTTGTAAAGTGGCCTTATGTTTGTCTAGCAGGGAAATCAGCAAAAGGGTTCTCAAAGAAGCTAGCAATGAAATTGAAAAGTGTCTACTGTCACCACTGGTGATAAATCAAACTGATGTTAAAGATGCAAATAGTCATTCCAGTACTCTCTTCGTTACTAGAATTGTTTAAGTTAATTAAGCCAGCAAAGTACTTCATTATCTACTATGCTGCATGCTAATGGTAGATTTAAAGTTTCACTGTCTTGTAGTTCAGATTTTTTTTCATTTTTAAATCTCCCTATCCATTGTGTTCAAAGTCCATATACTTAATGGTAACAAATATTGTTAATCAGGACTATATATTTGTTGTAGCATAGGTTTCTAGTTTATCAGGTTTGCAAGTCCAAGAAATCTGGAGAAACGTTTGAAATTACACTATTCAGGGTTCCTTTTGTCCATCTTCTTGAGAAGGTGATTAAAGCAATATATAATTCATTTTTATTAGACTGTCAGGAATTTAATTACATTCAACTTAGCATTGTAGAATTTTTAAACGTATTCTATTAACTAAAATAAAAAAAGCCGTTATAAATTACTGATATGATTGGTTTCTTTCATTTGCAGCATTTAAATATTAAGACACTGACGGATGATATGGTAAGGTTATGCTCAACATTTCTTCCTTTGTGAATCTTAACTAACCATGTAACATGGATGCCGTGCTATGCTAACACCTTTGAAACTGCTTGTTTTGGAAATATGCTGTTTTTTATAGTGCCAAAGTAAGAGGCAGAACGGATTAAAAAAAATACATGACATTTTTTGCTTTTAAATAGTAAAAGGAACTAGTTGATATGTTAATTTAAAAAATTTGTTTAATTACAAATTGTTAGTCAACTTTGAATCATTCAAATCAGCTCTCATTCTTTGGGGATGAATTGCGCACTTCAGAAAGAGGTAAAAAAAAATTGCTAAAGATATTTAGCGTTTTGAAATATGTAGTTGCTAATTAAAGTAAACCAGACTAAAATCTCATGCACGTATTTAAAAAAAAATATTGTTCAAAAACGAGAGAACCTTCCTATTTGTTCTGCCTATTGTTGCTTATCAGTAATGTACACTTTATAGCACCATTACAGATTTCTTGTATATTCGAGTACATGTTTTTGAGAAATAGATTTTTGAATGTAACTCGTGGCTAATGATACGGGATAATAAGAACAGCAACAAGGTCCACCCAAATAATAATATTAAAAAAAGTCAGCATGGTGAGACAAAGCACAGTGCCTTGTTGACCTGGTTTTGAATTTAAATTCACCTTTAATATGAAACAGGGTGCCTAGAAAATAGTAAGCCCTCAAAAAAGTGTTTGGCACCTCTGTTATCCAAAGGACTCTCTTGGGTACTTGGATAAAGTGGACATGTGGAGTTGAATGAGATCTAGATCTTGACATGCAAGATGGAAGAAATTCAATTAGAATATTCTGTTTTATTTCTCTGGGTAAGATCTAAGCAAAGAAGGTTGAGGTAAGCTTTTCTGGATAATGTTTTTCATATAACAGCATTTAGAAAGTTGTGATATGGAATGCTTACAGAGAGGACATGTAATTTCTTACCTCACAAGGTGGATGTTGTCCTCATCTTGGCCCTCGGTTACACGGAGGGTCAGCTAGGTTAAGTAAGCAGTTTGCCCAAGTATGTGCAGCTGGCCAGGGGTGCAGCTATGGCTTGAATCTTGTTCCACAAAGCTCCGAAACCATATGCTTACTGTGCTGACTTAGTCTTCATATGGCTGCTTATGACTGATAATAAAACCACCTTCAATTTTTGGTTTGAACATCCATGAGAATATACAATGAAAGAATTGTAAGAGCCTTCTTAAAATAATTCATCTAGCATATAGTTCACCCATGTACAGTGTACAAACGAATGGTTTTTGGTGTATTCAGAGTTGTACAGGCATCGCCACAATCAAATTTTGGAACATTTCCACCACCCAAAGAGAAGCCTCCTACTTATAAGCAGTCACTCATCCCCAGCTCCGCCAGCTTGAGGCAATGGCCAGGCTACATAATCTAGAGACTGCCACTTCTGGACATTTCCTGTGAATGGAGTCATGATACATGAAAGCATTCAGTCACAAAAGACCGCTTTGTATAATGTTTTCAAGGGTTATCCATGTTGCAGCTTGTATCGCTACTTTGTTCCTTTCTATTGCTGAATGCGATTCTAGGACATGTGAGATTTGTTCATATTTTATGGGCACTAAGCATTTTTTTCCTCTCTTCATTTAGCTGCTGCTCTTACCCTCGTTAGGATTGACCTTGCACATTGCCAACCCACAGCCTCTACTCTAAGTTCTAGAAACAGTCCTGTTTCTTTTTTAGAGTGGCCTCAGCAGGTCATTCTGGAAGCCGCCTTGCTCTGATCGTATGTTAATAAATGGGCTCCTCCTCAGTGAAGACTGTAGTTTTCTCTTTCCCTTTTGCCTCCATCCCTGCTCTCCCCTCATCCTTGTAATCGGGCTTGGGAAGGTCAGAACTTTTGGGAAGTTACCATAGTGTCTTGTGTGGTATTTCTATCAAAGCAGTATATCACTCTATGATCTTCTCATTAGTTTAAACATCTTCAAGGAAGAAGCAGTATTTTAATTCCAGGTATGCTGTCTGGTACATGGTAAGCATTTTCATTAGTTTTTCATTGAAAGAATAAAAGAATGAATCCCTGTTTTTGATTACTTGCGTAGTATTGTGGTTTCCTTGGACATGGGGATAGCTTGGTCCTGGTTGGGCTTTCCAGAAATGGACCCTTGCCTTTGCACAGGGTAAAGAAGTTTTAAAAACAAAACAAAAACAAAAAACAGCTTTGGTAAGAGCTTGCTGTCAGACTTTTGACCACCTGCCTGGATCCCTGATGGTTGCCTTGTCCCTGCTTTTATCTTCAGTGTGCCCACGAATGTTTCTTCTAGATTCCTCCTTAACCTTTTCTCCCTTGACCAGCTGACTGGTCTCCCCAGCTCCCACTGCTCGCTTCTGCTCTTGTACTTTAGCTTGGCTCTTGCGTAGGCTGGGGCTCAAGTCCAGGGAAGGATCAAGCAGGCAGCTGGATGCTTTGCTGTGGAGTGTAGAGAAGAAGCCTGGCTCTGCTGAATAAGAAGCTCTGAAAAGCAAACCTTACTCATCGATTGATGCACTGTGGAAAGGGCATTGGATGAGGAATCCGGAAACTCTTGTGGAAAGACCGAACTTCACCTCTTAGCTCTTTGACCTTGGCAAATCAGTTAACTCGATTGTTCACTTATTTGTAAAGCAGGACTAATTATACCTTCTCTACTTTCTTCATAGAGTTCCAAGTTTTGCTTAAGCTGAAATGTGTTGAATGGCGCATTCATTTCTGTCCTTTTACACCCCTTTAAAAAATATTTTCCAAAGTGTAGACAGTGGGGTGATGTGATACATCTGTAGTTGAGCCTTATACACTGTGTCACAGACCAGCGCACAACTTGGAGGAAAGGAGGTAAGGGTAGCTGGATATCTTAGAGCCTCTGTAAAGTGTTTCTGGGGAGTTAGAGCTCAGGGAAGCATTTGCTGTGGAAGCTTTAGTGTGTGCTGCTAATGTTTTCTAATTAAAGTGGCCGCCCTACGTACATGTTGCATGTGTATTCTTAATTTAGAACTTTTTAAGAAAGATTTTATTTGACAGGGAGAGGGCACAAACAGGGGGAGAGGCAGGCAGAGGGAGAAGGAGAAGCAGATTCCTCACTAAGCGAGGAGCCTGATGCAGTACTGGATCCCAGGACCCTGAGATCATGACCTGAGCTGAAGGCAGACGCTTAACTGAGCCACCTAGGTGCCCCAATTTAGAACTCTTTAATGTGAGAATAGCGTGTTTTGGGCAGAACTTGAGAGAAGGTGCATAAGAATGGTGTCACCTATAGTCACATGTTTGAATGAGTATTTTAGAAACATTAAGTTGAAACATTCTGGGAAGCATTAATGTTAAAAATCCATCTCTTTTTAATTTGTTGTGATAAAGGCCTACAAAAATATTTCACGTTTCAAGTTATTTCTTGAGTTACAGTCAGGATTTCATAGAACACTGTCCGGTTGTGGGAAGAAAGTCCTGCTCTGGTGTGGAGATCCCTGGGCAGAGTTTATATACTTGAAACCGTGTTCTTTCTACAAATATTTGAGCATTCACGATGTATAAAGAGCAATGCAAGGTGAAAAAGTCGGTTTACAACCATCCATTGTCTACATCTGGGTTGAAAAGGGCTCTTTCCATGGAGAGACAAAAGGATTGAGACAAAGGCAGTGAAGGGAGCCCAGTTTGGAAAGGTAAACAGAAAGAAACTGAACGTGGATGACACGATGCTGAATTCTCCATCAGTGTGTCCGTAGAGTGTTTTTGTGGTCTAGAAGTTGTTTTAACTTGCTTACTGTCCCTCACAACTATTTGTTTAAAGTATGGGGCTCCTGCTGATTGTCCTGTCTTTTATCTCTCCTGCAGCCTGTATTACGTAATATCATAATCTCTGGTGTGGCCTGCAGTAATGATTTACAAACTTTCTTGACCAGGACCTACAGTAAGAAGTACCCTTCATTTTGTAGCCCAGCACACATACACATATAAATTCTCCCACAACTGAAACAATTTTATAAACAATTATTTAATGTTTCTGAGCATTGCTAACTCTGATCTTTTCCCACTCTTTTCTATTGTATTTTTACTCCTCTCCATTCCCTTTAAAAAAAAAAAAAAAAAAAAAAGTCACGGGTGCAGATCAGATCCACTGCATTGATTTCTTGTCCCACACATGGCTCACAACCGTAGCTTGAAAATGGACATTGGCTTAGACAGCAACCAGAAGAGGTCCTCTGGTCTCTCCAAGTGTCTGCTCTTCAATTTATGACCTGTGGTTGAAAGTGGAAGTCTGGGTTCAGGTGCTAGTTCTGCCACTTACTAGCAGTGTGAATGCACAGGACTCATTTAGCTGTGGAGCCTTGGTATCCTTGGTGATCGAGCTTTTTAAGGGAGAAATACTGCCAACATGCTTGGTGAACTATGCATTCACCGTACTAGTGGTATAGGTAGGAATATGCCTTTTTTTTTTTTTTTTTTTTTTTTTTTGAAGAAAGAGGAAGGATTTACTTAGAACATAGTGCACCAATTTTATGGGTGTAACCTGATGAATTTTGACAAATATATGCAATCATGTATACACGATGATTATGATAGAAAAGCTTTCTATCACCCTCAAAAGATTCCCTTTGTGCTCTTTATGGTCATTCCTTCCTGCCCTCCCCCAACCTCCCTGCCCATTTTGGTTCTTGGGAATCATGAATCAGCTTATTGCACTACACAATTCAGTTTCTAGGAGTTCATATAAATGGAGTGTCTGGCTTCTTTTACTTAGCATAACGCTTTTGAGACCCCTCTTGTGCTTTGGTGTATCAGAAATTTGTTCTTTTTATTAATGAATAGTATTCCATTGTTTGGTCATACTACAGTTTCTATATTTAGTAGTTTGGGTCTCTAGTTTCTGGGGACTGAATAAAGCTGTGAACATTTGGGTATAGTTCTTGTGGGCTGGTTTTCATTTTGGAAGGGGAATCAGGTGGTAACTATGACTAACTTTATAAGAAACTGACAAATTG